CAAAGGATGTTAATGCAGCTATTGCTACAATTAAAACAAAACGAACAATTCAATTTGTTGATTGGTGTCCAACAGGTTTTAAAGTTGGCATTAACTATCAACCACCAACTGTTGTACCAGGTGGTGATTTAGCTAAAGTACAACGTGCTGTTTGCATGTTATCCAATACAACAGCTATTGCCGGTATGAATTTGTATATTGTTGTTGTTGTTTATTTTCTTTTTTTTATTAATGCTTTGTTTGCTGTTTCAGAGGCATGGGCTCGTCTTGATCATAAATTTGATTTAATGTATGCTAAACGTGCTTTTGTTCATTGGTATGTCGGTGAAGGTATGGAAGAAGGTGAATTTTCGGAGGCACGTGAAGATTTAGCTGCATTAGAAAAAGATTATGAAGAAGTTGGTGTTGATTCAGTTGAGGTATGGAAACATTTTTTTTTCTTAACTTTTTTGTTTCTATTCGATTTCTTTTAGGGTGAAGGTGAAGGTGAAGGTGAAGAATATTAAACAACAACCAATAACTATCTTGCATATCTTTGTATTTCTTCTTATTTTTTTTTCAAATATTGTATCTTTACAAAAAAAAGGACGTCGATGAATAAATAAAGGAAGATCATTAGACTGTTGTCTTTAAATTAATAGAAAATAGTTTGTTGTTATTATTTAGAGATGTTAAATTAACATCTCGTTTCATTGGATTGGATAGAAGCATATTGCAGACGAGTTGTAAAACATGCATGAATTGTTTACATTAAGATCATTGTATATATAATGCAATGTAATCCACCGAATTTCTCGTAGACCATGAAAAGAAAATTTTCACTTCAACAAGAAGAAAGCGAAAAAATGTCATCGAGCAAATAATTAAAATTATTGTAGAAAAGAATTATTTATTATAACTGTCAGAACCACAGATTTTCGTGAAGTTAAAGAAAAAACATTTCAGGGTGTGAATGAAAGAAAATCCACGCCAAGCTCATCCCTTATTTTTAGCTTTTCTGCGATTTTAAAGTCAATATTCTAGAAAATGATGAATGTCCATTCTACGAAAGCTTTTGTTCTTTTATTATAAATTTCTCGAAATTTTTTTTCGCATCGACTCATTTGCGTAGACCAAGAATTCAAAACTTATTTATTTTAAGAGACTATAGCTATTAACAAATAGAAATGATGACTCATTTTATGCATCCATAACACTTGTCTTATCTTGATTTGTTTTATGTTACTGTTACGTATTTCTTACATTTTTCTTGCTTGAATATTTATTTATATATAGTAACACTCGTATATCGATAGCAATCTAATTAGTTATTATTATTTGTGTAATTATAAAAGCAATGAAAATTGATGTACAAACTGAATGTTCACTAGTGATGGTACTGTGAATGATGATCATCACTTGAGGCGATCAAAACAAAAAGAAGCATGCTTACTCATAGATGTTGGAACAGCTTATCAACAATGACTTTGTGTCAAAGGAATCTATACATCATATTAACAATAGAAAAGCATTATGTAGAAGTCAACAAAAAAAAGAAGATGATAACATTGAGTAACTTTGATTATTAAATATAAATATTGGAAGAAGCACTTCTGGATTTAGTTATTAGAGTATTTGATTGACATTGAAGACACTTCCTTTCTGTATAAATCCGTTTTTATTGGTATGAAATATATAAATTGGAAAATTTTATGCCACACTTTTCTGCATACATATTTACTTTCAACGTTTTCATAAATCAACTCCCCTAGTCTGTTAGTAATATTATATCATTATATAGTCTATAGTCTTCTCTAGCAAATATTCAAGTATGATGGCAAACAAATAGAAACTAACTTCAGAAAAAGTGATTACATAAATCATTCCTCAATCTGAATATAACACCAAAGAACAATTGTACTAAATAGCTACGAAGTCTCAAATTTGTAGCTTTTACTATGGCTGAAAAACTAAGAAAATATTATCATGTATTATTATTTTACGAATTTCCAAATAAAGTTGATTGATAAAAATGTGAAACGTCTATTTTTATCAATGGATGAGCGGAGTTCATTAGAACGTTTCTCTAATATTCTTTGTGAGAAAATGCATTTGACTAGTGATAAATGGGCACAATTCATTCGAACTATTGTAACAGAAAATACAACTGAAAAAATTAGGTTATTTACGAATGGAATTTTTCAAAATAATTAAGACCATGACCAAAAGTTATAGGTGGCTTTAGATGCGTTTGAACCTGTTTTTATCAATCGAATTGAACTAAAAGGAGAATATAATAAAATGAAAACGACATAAAAAAAGAATGAAAAAATTTAGTGCTTCTTTATGTCAATCAATGATAGATAAAATACCAGCACGATTAAAGGATTCCGCCGGATAAGATCGTAAATCTGCCTCCCCCCACCTATGCCTCACTTTCAATAGGTTAGAAAGATAGAGCATGAAATTCTGCATATTTCAGTGTATTTTTTTTGCTTTTTCTTGAATGCAAAAAAAACTTTTTCAAAGATAACAATGTCTTCGGGGTATATCACTTTTGAGTATTTCGAACAATAACTATGGTACCCATAAGTTTTTCTTTTGTAAATCTAATACGAGGACCAATAGTATAGATCAGTGCAGTTTTTCATGCTCTACAAAATGATATATTGATCATGTTTACTAAAATTTCTTTCTTAGATTATGCAGGGTCAAACAGGTACCATAAGTATGATTTTTATCCTAAATAGGCAACTTTGGTGGAGTATTATTGCATTTAAAAATCAAATTGGACAAAGATGTCACTATGATCAAAACCTCCTTCGGCTCACGCTCTATCGATCTATGTGATTTTCAGCAAAAATTACAGCAGCTCCGAAGTTCATTTTCCTCGAAACTTTGTAAAAAAAAGTCACCGTTTTGAGATATTATCCAGTCAATGTTGACCTTGAATCTTAATCTTATTTCAACTTCACATAAAAACCAATATCATATTCGAAATCAGCACTAAAAACTACGCCATATCATATAGTTTTTAGCGCAATTAAATTTTTTACAAAAAATCGATGTGTTCCCTTCAGTCATTTTTTTCTTAAATTTTAAACTATATGATATGGCGTAGTTTTTAGTGCTGATTTCGAATATGATATTGGTTTTTATGTGAAGTTGAAATAAGATTAAGATCCAAGATCGACATTGACTGGATAATATCTCAAAACGGTGACTTGTTTTTACAAAGTTTCGAGGAAAATGAACTTCGGAGCTGCTTTAATTTTAGCTGAAAACCACATAGATCGATAGAGCGTGAGCCGGAGGAGGTTTTGATCATAGTGACATTGTTGTCCAATTTGATTTTTAAATGCAATAATACTTCACCAAAGTTGCCTATTGAAGATAAAAAACATACCTATGATACCTGTTTGACCCGGCATAATCTAAGAAAGAAATTTTAGTAAACATGATCAATATATCATTTTGTAGAGCATGAAAAACTGCATTGATCTACACTATTGGTCCTCGTATTAGATTTACAAAAGAAAAGCTTATGGGTACCATAGTTATTGTTCGAAATACTCAAAAGTGATATACCCCGAAGATATTTTTGTCTTTGAAAAATTTTTTTGCATTCAACAAAAAGCAAAAAAAAATGCACTGAAATATGCAGAATTTCATGCTCTATCTTTCTAACCTATTGAAAGTGAGACATAGGTGGGGAGGGACGGGGCAGATTTACGCTCTTATCCGGCAGGGTCCTTAGTAAATAATCATCATGGTGATCAAATATACGAACAGTGATATGTGTTTCTTGTTATTTCAAAACATGTTTTTTTTTAAGACTCATCGAGACGATCGAAAAAATATATAAAATAACGGTTACGGCAGAGATAGTTGCTGATCAGTATTTTGTTGATGTCTTGGTTAATTGTATCGCTTGGGCTTTATTTGTTTTCCACAAAATTCACCATAGAGTTCTGTACAAAACAGTGCAGCTTACTCAGCTAATATGTTTGCTTCTTTCTAGAACACGACTTTCTAAACTGCATTTTTTTCTTTTCTTTTTTTTTTTAAAGTATTTCCATTCTTAAAACATTTTGTCTTTTTTTTATGAAACTTTTACAGCTTATTGTGGTGATTTGTCCATTCTAAATAATAATTAGAAGCACACAAGTAATGTTAATGACGTGTCAACATGTCATAAAAAAAAGTCTCACTGCTTTAAGGATAGAAATGGTTCTTGAAAATAAAAGAAAACAAATGCAGATTTAGAAAGTTCTGTGCAGCATCTTATTTCTCAAAAAAGAGTCGTGTTCTAGAAAGAAAAATATGTTAGTTGAGTAAGTTATCACTGTTTTGTGTAGGCATCTACGTGAATCTTTTTTAAATATCGCACTATAGTTTGATCTTTCATTCAACATAATTATAAACTAGAGAAATCATTTAGTAACTTTTTTCAATTTTTTCGAAATTCTTTATACTTATATGAAATTTATGATTGTCTTGGTTAATGTAAACATTTCAGATGCTCTACATATCTTATCTTATCATAATGTGCGATGTCAAATATTATGTTTACTAAAATGATACACTGATAAGCTCATATGTTTTAGCTATTTTGTACGTGAAATAATTCTAAATATAAATGCTTTACATCGATACTTCATAAGATGAAAGAAAACGGAATCTTTTTTGAATCAAGCAAAGTAAAATGTCTCGTCATCTTTTCATTTTATTTCAAATAGAAACAAAAAGAGAATTTGATAGAAGATAATGTCATTGATAATAAAAAGGCCATTATGATTCTACATAAAATGTTCCTCTTTTGTAATCAACTTCTCATTGTGTCGCTCACTAGTCTTTCTCTTTTTTTTTGGTTTCTTTATCATATTAGAAGAAGAGACTATTATTATTAGTATTATTATTATTTTCTCTTCGTGTTTTCGGCTAAGTATAATTCATGTTGCTTTGTACGGAGTTGATTTCATTTCTAACGAATTCATTTTAGCTCATAGATTTTATCAAATATGTTACCATTTATTTTAATGACCGTACTATTGTTACCATTAATTGTTGAATCGAAAGGTAAAAAATTTTCTTATTTATTAAAGCTCTTATTATAATATATAGGACATTGGTCTTATGAAAATATTACAATATGGTCGCGTGATTATGGTTATTGTGCTGGAAATCTACAATCACCAATCGATTTACGATTTAATAGATCATATATTGATCATTGTCTTAAACCTATGTATTTTCAACAACTAAGTTCTCATGGTAAATACATATTGATTTATATTTCTCGGCTTTTGATTTATTATTTCATATTGATAGATCGACTACAACTCTTCAATAATGGTCACACAGGTCAGTTTCATTATATACAACACTTTATCTCGATAATCTCTTTCGGACGAGTGAACGCCTGTTTTTGGTTTTCTTTCTATAATGTTAAGAACCTTGCTTAAATCCAGATAGCGATTTTGATAGTTAATGAAGTTTTCTATATAATGCATTCCATACCAAGATGTCATAGATGACAAGGTTTCTAGATAAGCAAACACAGTAGTCTTTAGGTTCCAGTAGACTTTGTCTAGGCTATTTTTGCAACAAAGCTATTTTAAAGAACACAAAGTTCCTTTAAAAAAAAAGAAGTCGCTGTATTTCCTATGACTTATCCTTAAAAAGTAAAAAAAAATATCACAAAAGTCTTAAAAAATGAAATTTATCAAAATATACTAACTAAAAAACACCTTTTTCTGGATTTTGTGATGCTTTTAACTTTTTACGACAAGACCGTAGAAAATGCAGTGTCCTCTTATTTTGTTCAGAGATTTGCATTCTTTAAAATAGCATCATTGAAAAAGTAGCTACTACCAAGTTTTCTGGTACCTGAAAACTGCTGTGTCTGATTCTTTTTGAAAACCTTGTCATCTATAAAATCTTGCTACGGAAAAAATCAAAGTTGATCGACACGAAAATTAGTCAGTGACAAAATTAATTGATATAGAGCATAGTCGAGAAAGGGTGTGAGTGTAGACATTAGAGAGCTGCAGGTTTATCTTTTTCTGAACTAACATCCGGCTGGACTCGAGTCTGAAAGGAACCACAACCCTCTAATATTTACATCTAATCGCATACCCGTGTAGTATCAAAGTCACTAACTTCGGGAAAACCAACCAGATTTTTAATTATTCAGTATAATATTTGTCTTTCATAGCTCAACTTAGTTTATCAAATCATTATGTGTTAAAAAATGTTGCCCTGGGAAGTAAAGATTATAGAGTAGAACAAATTCATTTTCATTGGGGTCATTCAAATGACAATGTTAATGGATCAGAACATTTACTCGAAGGACGATCATATCCATTAGAAGTAATTATTATTTATTTAATCGAAATCTTTAACAAGGATTCATATATAGATGCATGTGGTAACTTATTCAAGTTGGTTTTCAAATATTGTTGAAGCAATGACGAACACACGTGCACTTGCTGTTGTCGGTGTTTTCTTTGAAGTAAATTTCTAATTCTATTTTTTTGTTTTTTAATATATTTTTTGTCTTGATTATTAGCTTAGTAATGAACCAAATCCATTTCTTCAGCCAATAGTTAATGTATTAGAACATATTCGAGATAAAGGTAAACGCGTTATTGTTGAGGAAGATTTCAATTTAAAAGCTTTAATTGGTGAAAAACGTATGCGTCGTTACTATCGTTATGATGGCTCATTAACAACTCCACCTTGTTATGAATCAGTCATATGGAGTGTTTTACAAGAACCATTACAAATATCATCCGGACAACTTCAAGCTTTTCAAAATTTACATGGAGAAAAATCTGAATTAATGAAAAATACATATCGAACAATACAACCCCTTGGTTCCAGAAAATTATTTCGTAGTTTTGCTTCAGAAAATATTTATGATGATGAAATCAAGAAACAAGTGTCATCAAAAAGTCATGGTCAATATTTGACGGTCAATATGAAAATTTCTTTTGTTTTAATGAACCTTTTAATGCTTATTGTTTAAAAAAAAGCTCTGTAATTGTCTATTTTTTTTTCATTTAGTATATTCCTGCATCTATATAGATTTATAGTAAGATAGTCAAAAAATATATATTTAATTTTGCATTACATTATAACATAATATTCTCGAATAGAACTAAATAAATGAAAGTTTCCTAGATATCAAAGAGCGATTAAATTGCCTTGATATGTAACTGGGTAAACCGCATGGGAAAACATTCCGAACAATTAAAAGACTTCACTTCAAACTATTGGTATTCCATTGAATGGTATTAGTATCAAGTGAAAAACGATTCGAAAATTTCGAACGTTTTCTCATCAGAAATAAAAAGCTTACTTAAATAAATTTTACTTTTCTATAAGAGTCAGATTTTATTTGATTAGATTTAGAGGTAATAATTTTTAAAAATTTCTGCCCAATATATATACATTGGTTCAACATTCCTCATAGCACGTATTTGTGAATATTCTTGTAAATCTATCTAGTGTTTGAAACCAGAGATAGAAGTAAGTTTCTTTTTTCATTAGAATCATTAGATAGTGAGCTATAAAAGCATTTATTCAATTTTTTTCCCATTTTACTGGCAAATATTAGACAAAAGGATAATAAATGTGTTCATATTTAGCTCGAATTATATATATGTTTTACGAATCTATTTTTCTGCAAAAAACGGCCGACTCTTTGGAGACTAGAGCAAAATTCTAACAGAACCATTGTAGTAAAATCGCTAAATACGAACACGTTTTTTTATTCTTCTGTCTAATATTATCAGCAAAACAGGAAAAAAAATTAATTGTCTCAACAATAAAACATAATCTAGAAAAAACTGAATAGATTCTATTACAGCCCACTATCAAATGATTCTAATGAAAAAAGATACTTGCTTCTTTCTCTTATTTCAAACACTAGATAGATTTACAGGAATATTCACAAATACGTGCTATGAGAAATGCTGAAACTATGTATATTGAACAGGAGTTGATAAAACTTGTTGCCTCTAAATCTAATCAAATAACATTTTTCTATATGAAACTCGAAACGATAACGTAATTGAAATTGGTGATTTCTGTAGAAAAAAAAAGCAATATATATATTCGTGATCAGCATATCAAAGTCTCTCAAATCATAAAAATGAAAAAGAAAAAAATGCACTCGAATTTTAAATTAGCGGCATCTTACAAAGCCTACTTTGACACGCACTGCCCTTGCTTATTTTTCATCGACTCGTACGACAAATGAACGAGAGACGCATGGATAAAATCATATCTAATCGCCTGATGTTTATTTGTGTCTACTGAATATTCGAAGTCATTATAATAATTGAATAAGGACGGATAATGATTTTCATTCGTATATTCTATTTTACCTATTCTTATTAAAAATCTTTTGATTTATAATTTTGATTTAATTTACTAGTAATATCTTCAAGACATTGACTCATTTTATTAATATATTTATTTTAAAACATTCATAAAAGTTTTTTTTTTCTCCTTTTATTTTAAATGAGACTTTGTATATAAACATAAATAGTCACTCAACAAATGATCGATAATTCTTTTTCTTTTCTTTTCTTTTTTCTTTTTTCTTCATACTCAACGTTGCAAGTATGTTGGAGAACTGAAAAAAAAAACATGAATTACAAGCAATAAATATTTCTCTTCAAAACAAAGAAACTTTCTTTTTCATATTCCTGTTCCTCCGTCACCATCACCACCGTCACCAACAAGAAGAAAACGAATGTACACATACACATACAAATAAAATGGATCGTGATAGTGCCAATGCTACTCGTCTACGTGTTAATCGTATTGCTTTAATTCAACAAATTGATGTTCAAGAAATTCTACCTAAACTTGTTCGTGCTCGTATTCTATCTGTTAATCATGATATACAATATATAAATCAAGGTACATCACGAATTGATCGTGCACGTCGTTTAATTGATTGTCTTTTAACACCAATATCAATTGGAAAAGAAGCAGAACGTGGTGAACGTCCAGGAAATTGGTTTTTACTATTTCGTAGTTTTTTATTAGAAAATCCATCTGCTTACGGTGATCTTGTAACAGCACTTGATAATACAGTAATACGTGCACCAGCTTTTGCTCAACATGCATCAGAAGCATTTACTGATAAAACAAATGTACAACGTTCAAATGAATTTCGTGATAATGTGAATAAAGATTTACTTCGTACATCCGAGCCAACACAAACTAAGGAACAACAGTCAAGTTCTCAAATAAAAAATAATCAAGAACAAACAACTAAAATTGAATTTGATAAATATGAAATGAATAAAATTTTAATTCAAGGAAGTTTTCAAAAAGTTATTGACAATCTTACTTATCTATCACAGGTATATTAAGAAAATAATTGTTTAGCTTTAAAGAATACTTCAAAATTGAAAAACTTACATTTAGATACCTGCACATTTATTTGATCAATTATCTCATTCAAATCAACTATATGATCGTGAACAACTTAAAACTGAATATCAAGCATTTGATGATATGCGTCGTCTTGAATTAATAAATAATTTAATGAAACAAGAAAATTCACTTGCTAATCAATGTACATTCGATACAGACGTAGTTAATTCAATTCTTTTAGATTCTAATCATTATCATCATTTTTATAAATATTTTATTGCATTATCATCTATTTATGGTATTCATTTTGATAGACAATTTTTTCAATCATTTGTTAATTCACTTGATAAACAAGATGATTTACTTAAAAAAATTGATAAAGGTTTTCAATTATATAATTTTTTATATGGTTATGGACGATATGAATTATGTCGACAAATTATTGAACGTATTGTACAATCATTAACTAAACAAGTTAAACAACAACATCAACAACAGCAACAACCAATTATTTGGACTTATTTATTTCGTGCATGTTGTGCACTTATTCAAGTTCATAATCAAGGTATAGAAATGAAAGACTCATGGGCTAGAATTGAAGCTGCAAATGAAATTGCCGAAAATCTTAAAACAACTGGCATGGGTAAATTTATTTTATTTTCGATGATAATATCACTTTATTGTGTTTAATGTGTTTTTTTCTTTGTTTAGAAATCGCCAGTAATGATCAAGCTTGGTTATGTTTTGCAGCATCTCAAACAGCATATGAAGATGCTAATTTCGATGCTTCTATTCAATATTGTTATAAGTATTTTTTAATCTTTGTATTAAATATTTCATTATATGACTATTTTTTGAATATATAGAGGTCTTAAATCAGCTGATAAAAATAATCATTTATTAATTATTGATTTACTTTGTTCACTGGCACAAGGGCTAACATTAAAATGGATTATGACTAAAGCACAAACAACAGCTGTTATGGCTGTACAATATGCAGCGTAAGATTACTATAAGGTGCTAGCAAAGCTTTTTTTAGCATTTTTATGTCATGGTCGGATAGAGCTCGTCGATTTGCAACTCTTTTTAAAGAGTATTGTTTGATTGTTGAGAAAATCGATTTTTTTTTCTATATGAGAACAAAACGTCATAAATATGACTTTATATCCAAAGTCGACCGAAAAATCCGCATCAAATAGTGTACTCAATACTTAAAAGATGGTTTCGTCAAATTTCGATCTTAGGAGAGCCTAAGATCAGATTATTTCAAAATAATAGTAAGAAGGTATAAGAACCGAAGTTTGACGAAAACTTGTTTTGAGTATTGATACAAACTCCTTCATATGCAATAATTCCTCAGCTAATCGATTCTAAACTTAATAGAATCAGTTTATATTAATAATGAATGTTCTAAAATTGTTTCAACTAACTAACAACACTGGATGCCTTGTTAGTTCATACATTTAACACTAAAATCTTTACTTAATTCACTCTTTTTGTTACCCAACACATTCTTTTGATTAATATATCATAAAAAGATCCATATTAAAAATCCTATCACATAATACCGAATAATTATATCCTAACGGATTTATTCCGGATATTTTATCCTGTCAACAGATTTATAACAAAAAAAAAACACCCATACCCTAAATTCCGAGACATAAACAAATGCCGATATTTATTAAAACATCCCGAACAAACACGTCCTAGAAGCTGCTGACATTTTAATCTCGACGAGATTGTGTTAATAGCTTTTTAACCTAATTTTCACTAGAAAACCATTGTTTGAATATGTTTGAAAACAATATTTTCTTAGGTAATTGGAAAAACTCTACCCAACCATGACAAAAAAAAAATACCAAAAAAGTTTTGCTGAAATTTCGAATTGTTGACATCTTACACATAGTTAAATATAATAAAATTTTGATTTTCATCATAGAAAATATTGTGGTCGTAATAGTCCAAAATATGTTTATGCACTTCAACAACTTGTACAATATTCAAATGAATTTATTCAAGATGCAAGTACTGTTGAATTAGCACAGGTAAATTATAGACTCAATTATATTTCTTTTAAGAAAATTTTATACTAGAATTAATTTAAAATCGAAATTTTAGTATACATTTGATCGAGCTCGAACTGTTTATGGTTATGAATCATTAGCAGTTGCTCATTCTCATCGAGGTTTATCAAAAAGTTTAATAACTCTTGCTTCAACAACTTATTCTCGTCGTCATGTTGAAGAAAATTCATCTGAAAACAAATCTATTGATTCACCACAAATAGCTTATCTACATCATGCTAATGAAGCTCATCGTATTGCACAAGATTGGTTTGGTGTTGAAGATGGTGTTCGTTTATTTCCATTTAAAATGAGTCTTGCTCATGCATTACAAGCACGAGCATCATCTGATCAAACTGAAAATAAAGATAGTTATTTTAATGATGCTATGGAATTACTTGATGATTGTCTTTCTATTGCAAAAGATATATTTGGAACGATGAGTTTTAAAGTTGCACAAGTTCATCGACTTCGATCAGCAACATATCTTAGCAAAAGAATGTAAAAAAGATACCAAAAAAAAAAAGAATTTCAAAGTTTTCTTTTCTTCATAAGTTTGTTTACTTCT